GAGGACGCTGTATGAAAAGGGGTTATAAGAGACTAGCCAGTGAACAGAGTACAGCTGGTGGAGACCTGCACACAGAGCTAAAAGCGAATATTGGACACAAAGAAAACTCCAAATTTATTATAAAGTTGCTCCATAACTTCTGGATGAACAACTTCAACATATCAGTTTAAAAGGCATCTTGTGCTCACGACTCGTTTTGCTAATAAAATCAGTTGTTGCAGGTGGAAGGTGTGTTCAGACGCTGTATGCGTGCAAATGTTCCAACTGTAGCAACACACAAATCGACTAAGTGTGTGTTGACAGGTCAGCTCAGTCTTTGACTCATCTCCAAACTGACCAGGAGCTCCAGCTCATTAAATATTATTGTCCTCCAGATCCGTCCACGTCCTCCAATAGCTCAAGTGGAGTCATAAGGTACATTATTTTGCTGTAGTTGAAACATTTTCAAGTCATACAGATGTGTCTTCACTCAAGTTGTACTGCCCAGGGCTAGTTTGCATCCAGATGTGTCCTTGCTCTGCCTTTGCATGCAATCAGTCCACATTTACAATTTGCTGCACAACTGTGCAGTGTGTGAAAAGTGTAATAATCTCAGGAAATACGTGTTACCAGATATAGACAGGTTTTGGTCATGTTAGGTAGTGAGCGTTAAAGATATTGGTTGGTGTGCTTTTGAAATAGGGAGAGCAAGGCTACCTGTTTCCCCCTGTTTCCATTCATTAGGCTAAGCTAGCTCCAGCTCCATACTTAACACACAGACATACAGGTACATTTCAAATTGATGAACTATTCTGTTAAGGCAAATTTAAATCACTTGACGTTAAATAAAAACGATGTTTGTAGCATCCACCCAGGGTGCAGGTTTTATCTGGTTTCTCTACAGCGCGTCTCCCTTCTTTCTGTCCAGGATTTAAATTAGCTCCTGGGGATATTTTTAGTGGCTCTCTCGACGATTTAATTAGGTTTACAAATGATAATTTTTAACCACCATGTCTACCGTGGACCGTGGCAGCACAATAAACACAATCAGACATTCCCCCTGCAGAATTGCATTAGGGGTTTGGCACTGCCAGAGAGCAGGGCTGGAAAATGTCGAGCTAGCTGGCATCAAGGAGCTCCTGTTACCAGTAAAGGGGGAAAACTCCCAGAACTCTGCCAATCCAAAGCACACACACACACACACACACAGTCACATGCAAACTCCCAATTACACTCCCATTCCTGTAGAGGTGGTTTTTAAACCTTGTCAACGCAAAGATGTAGCAGTAGGCGTGGCTTTTTAGTAAACTGTTGGGTGGCTGCCTTCCCACAAGTCAGGGCAACAAAACAGCCGTCAATGGTGGATGCAAATGGACAGAAAAGGGTAAAGAGAACATGGAAGATATCTGACATGGATCCTCCCTTTTACCCAGATATTTCAGGTCTTAATCTTTTCTGATTCTAATAACGGGTCTGAGTTTGTTCTTAAATAAAAGGACGCAGTGGGGTAGAGGTTTGAGCATCGTGAGCATGGAAAAATGTTCTAATGCTCCTTTTTTCCCTTCTCTAGTATTGGATTATGCTCTGATGCTGGAAAAGTCCTGCAGAATTATGATGATTTCATTTCACGGGAACGTTGTGTTGTAATAAATTCTGCCTTTGTCTCTCTCTGCGTGACCTCTGGATGAGCTGCTGCGGCCGGCATCTCTTCTCCAGCGCTCGTCGAGTCCAGATTGGCTTTCAGTTTTCAATGTAGGGGATGCACTCCCTCTGCCGTTTTGGCCAAAAAACCATCAGTCGTGTGTGTGTGTGTGTGTGAGAGAGAGAGAGAGAGAGAGAGAGAGAGACAGAGTGTGTCCAATTCAATCACTGATCACCTCTTACAACATGTGTCCAAAAGCAGATAACAACCCAGAAATGTCATCTGGTTTGATTTTTGGAAGAATTATTGTGGTTTTGTGTTTTTAAAACTCTGTCAGACTGCAATTGTTCGAAAGTGTTGTCACGAGCAATATATGTTTGGTTCATTCTCTCCTTTTGATTATTGGTTATTGACAAATAGCTCTGTCAAATGTGTTCATTAGTCATCCAATGTTGCTGTGGATGTTTGTGGCCAGAAGTATGTGGACACTCATTGCAGCTGTAGGTGCTCGCAGTTGATGTTCCAGTTTATCTAGTTCATCAAAGGTGTTGGAGGGTCGAGGTCACATAGTCGTCCACATAGTTTTGTGTTTAAAATGCACATGATGAAGTAGTGCCCACACAAAATTAACAGTTTGCAAATTTAAAATCAAGTACAAATTCCGACAACAATGGTGCTGACACAATCGATTAGTCAGCTGATTTTAATTTTTTAGGATTGATTACTGTTTAAGTCATTTCTCAACAACGATGTCAAGAAGTTTTCTTTAGTTCCAGCGTCTCAGTTGCTGTTTTGTTCTTTTTTGTCGTCGTAAAGTTGGTTTAGGACAGTTGGTCGGACAAAAAATGTTTGTAGGCGTCACCGTGGGTTCTGGGAGGTTGTGAATTTTCACAATGACATTTAGACTCAAACAATTAAAGAATAAAGGAAAGTGGAAAGATTTATCTATAATTTAATTAGTAATTAGTTTAAGCCCTTAAATAAATATGATAGCAACATAAATTTTCTTCTTTACAAATGCCAGCGGTCCGGATAGCGCGTTCCCCTCACAGCAAGAAGGTCGTGGGTTCAAACCCCGGTTGCCCCGGCCTTTCTGTGTGGAGTTTGCATGTTCTCCTCGTGTCTGCGTGGGTTCTCTCCGGGTGCTCCGCCTTCCTCCCACCGTCCAAAGACATGCAGACTAGGTTGATTGGTGACCCTAAATTGTCCTTAGATGTGAGGGTGGTTGTTTGTCTATGTGTGGCCCTGCGATGGACTGGCGACCTGTCCAGGGTGTACCCAGCCTTTCGCCTGATGTCAACTGGGATTGGCTCCAGCCCACAGCAACCCTGCACACAGGATAAGCAGTTTACAATGGATGGATGAATGGATGGATGGAAAGTAAATCGACACTAAATCTACTTTTTTTTAAGTTGGCAAATTATATGTAAAATCACTGTATTATTCTATCAAGTGGTCTTGGTTCTAGTCTTTAGTATTTAGAGCAACACCAGTTCTTTGGCTTCAAAAAATGGTTTTCTGAATGCATTTTCTGAATATACTGTAATAAGTTGGTGTGCTCAAGCTAAAACTTGGTTACGTTGCTTTAAAGATGTTTCACACAGTGCTGATTTCACACCCAATTCCCTCTGTTTTTACTGTGTGAAGGCTTCAGTGTAGCAGTTATTATCAGATCCAAATCCACACTTTTTGCTCCCACATCCTACGACCCATCGTTTGCCTATTCAGATTTTTGAAAATGCTAAAATTGCTGGCAACAAATGAGACTAAGACGAAATTAAATATAAGGGAAGTGACAGCTATATCTTTGCTTTATTGACGTGGGCCCTATGAGAAACACATGTGTGGTTATTTTACACAGATCTGCAGTCATAATTTTGTGGTCCAGTTTTACACAAAATGAGGTTTTAGAGGAAACACTAAGAAATTAGTGTTAAATATAGTCCATTAGGGACCCATGGAGCTCTTAATCCAGTGTGAGTGTATGTTTGTGTCTTGAATTTTCTATCTGCTTATATTTTCTCGTCTATCTGAGTATAGCTGTCATGTGCAGAATGTGAATACAACATGTGTTCCTGCATTCAGCCATATGCTCGTGTGTAATTCTAATCTGCAGTCAGTCAGCCTCATACTGTTTGCCAGCACATTGGACGGCCCTTGTGTGATCAGCATCTCCCAGCGCAACATTCCTCAGTGACAGCCGCGGGCAACGGCTTCTTTAAATAGCCTCTGGATAGCTGCCTTTCTCTCTGAGATCTGCAGAGATGTTGGAATTCCCTGAGCTCAGGTAGAGCGTTAGCGCCTCCTTGTGGCCAGAGACTGATTTCTCCCATGAGCTGTTTACAAACATGGACCATACCTTGGCGTTTTGAGCACTCTTATTGCATGGAATTGGCTTTTTTCTGCCAGGGTGAGGTGGATCAGGAGGGTTCTGGATGGAGTAAACTTACATGGAAGGTGTTTGTAACTTTCAGAAGTTCAAATTCTTCTTCTTTTCTGTTTCCTGTAGTTCATGTAGTTTTGGTCATTTGCAGTCAATACGACTAATTTTAACCGAGACATCGAATGCAAATCAAAGCTTTTCTGAGACATTGCCATCCCACCGTTCCTTGCTCCAACAATATGATGCGTAATGCAGATGCACATGTTTTGTTTTTTAGTTTAAGCTGATTTTTCTTTTGTAACGTTGTTCCTGTCTTCTGAATTCCCTATCCCATCTTTTCTCGACTATATGAGAGATTTTCCATGAAGGATCTGCTTTTTCACTGGCTGTAATTCTTATCGATCGCTCCACTGGTACCTCTGTTTGTTAGGGTATTTTGAACAGCTTGCTTCACATTCATGTTAATCAGTCCAGTTCACTGATCTGTATCAGTACAACTTGTTCCTGTCATTGTTGTTGGAGGGCATACGCTTCAGTTAAAAGTCATAAACCACATTGTTGTTGAATACAGGTTCTGCAGTGCCCAACCATTCACTACCTATGAAGTTTTTGCAGCTGGGTAACACCACTCTTTAGCCGCCTTTGCTTTAGGGAGACAACTGTCATTTTTTGCAAGACGAGCAGAGGTTTTCTTAATTTTTCTCTCTAACAAATGACCTATGCTGTAGTCCACCACCCTAATTAAACAAAGGTCAGATGGAAGGAAAACACACTGATCAAGTCTCCCACACATTCACAAGTCTGAATGTTACAGCAGCTCAGCACTTGTGCCTGTTATCAACACACACACACACAGACAGACACACACTCTCGCTCTACTGTCTCAGATTCTTGGCATGACTCCTGAGGGTAAAAAAGGAAACATCCCCTTGCCCCCTCTCCCCTCCCATATCCCCTGTTGCCAGCCTGTGGGCCATCCCCGACCCTCCTGTGACAAATCCAAACTGAGAGGAGCTCATGTCAACTTTATGTTTTGACCACGACTGTGTTCTTGTTCCTGCCTGTTGATGTGTGACGGCAGGACCGAGCACAGACCTGATCTCTTTTCCCTATTGTCTGGATAGCTTGATTCTTTAGTCAGGACAGCTCTGATTCTCTTCAGCCCTGTCTTTTCACATATTATGCCGTACTAAATGGGGGGCTGCGATGCCCCCTACAGAGGAGCCACCTGTCATCATGTCTAACTCTGCTTTCCGCGGTTGCCGCACTATCTCGCAGCACCTGAACGACCTGAAGAAGGAGAACTTCAGCCTGAAGCTCAGGATCTACTTCCTGGAGGAGAAGATCCAGCAGAAGTTTGAGGAGAGCAGCGATGATGTGCACAAGAGGGTGAGTGAAAAAATTCATCTGTGAATGAAAGGACTGATGATGCAATGCATGCAGGGAATCATTCAAAATCCTCTGTGTCTGCATGCACTATGAAAGTGAGAGCTGCAGGTTTGTACTGACAGTTATTAGTACTGACAGCAGGTCTCAGGCTGCTCAGCAACAGTTCATACAGTCTGCCAGTCAGAAGTTTTTGCATTTGAGGATGACTGGGACTCAGAGGCTGCAAGCTACAGTTTGTCTCAAAACTTTCAAAGTCTCTCAGCCGCTGTGAACTCTGTGGTTTCCTCCACTGAGCTCGGAAAGTGTCTGGAGTATTTTTATTTATGAGTCTGTGAGAATTAAAGTAACAATTCACTGTCACAGTATTTACATCTACTGTGACAGTGAATAGAGAGCAGGATGATGGTGAGCCCGTTTAGATAGACACCTTCTTTAAGATGCAAAGCCTCTGATTTCAGCCGTGTTTAATATAGCAGGTAGATGAATTTGGCCAGTGGACAGAGGAGAGGGCTGTCAGAGGCCCGCTACAGGCTACAGTCTAAGAGTGAAGCTGTGGTAAACCAAAAGATGTTCAAGATGTTTTTAATCATGCAAATATATTCCATCACAGGCTACCAGTACAGCACAGGTTCACCTTTGTGTACTGTAAGCATCTATTTATTAGAACATGTATTCTCATATTACAGTAATCTGGCTCTTAGTGACAAATTTTAGTACAGTTTTTATGAAAAGAAAATCACATTTCAGACATTTGAAAGCTGTTTTGTATGATCTCATTCTGAGCTGTACTTGACACAGAGGACCCTTTTTACTGTAAACAGTGCTTCACACTGTTTCCTTCCAGAAGGAAACATGGCACCTCTGAAATGCACGAGGACATTAAACCTGGATGAAGAACAGTTGAAACTCCTCCTCCTGAATAATCTGAGTTTTCAAGGAAAATTGAAAACACATCAAACAATGCGCTTTGCCTGTTAGAACAGATGAAGGGCACAAACAGTATATCTAAGAGACCCACATGTGAGAGAATGGTTGTTTTAACTGCCCCTGCACTGTCTGTCTTTTCCTGTCGGCCACTATAGACCCAGTGACCCACATCATGTTAGCCTGAGAGCCCTCAGGCCTGCTGTTTGCATGCATGCCTGCACACTGTGCATGCCCTCTACTAGTTTAATTTCATGTGCGCACGCTGCATGAGTGTATACATGTTGCATGCGAGTATGGTAGAAGCAGCAACACCTGTGTTGTGTGTCAGCACGTCAGTAATCGGACCTTCACTACAGGAGCAGATGGGTGTACAGAAAAGTAAATCACCACTGCAGGCAGATAAACTGCACGTGAGAGACCGGACGGCCAGTTCAGTCCAGTTTGTTGCTGCGTTCAGAGCCAAAAGTTAAAAGTGGAGGTGTTGCTGGGTGCAGTGGGGGAGGAGGAGGGAGGGGAGAGTGGTGGATATTACATTGGGGCCATGGGGGGACTGCAAAGGAGACAGATACAGCAGGTGCTCATATCCCTACCAGCTATTTATAGTCCTACAGAGCTCCCTGATATACAGGTCAGCACGTGCAACCTAGGAAGCTCATTTTGTGTCTCTCTGCATTACTGAACTCCTTAGAGTGAATTATTATGCTAATACCAAGCCAATGTATCTGAAAGCTTGACAGTATAGCCTAAAATCTCTATCATAATTAATCATAATCAATTTATTAATAACCTGCCTGACCTGACCTGCTTGTTCTGATTGAGTAAGTTCTTGCAGAGATTCAGGACTGGACTTGAACTTCTGTTTATGTGTCGCTGCTTGTTGTAGCTATTATCAGTTTAACTGAAATAGATTCAAGCAATTCATTTGTTGGAAATTGTATTAAGAGTGCACCGGGAGTTTCATAATTATCAAATCATTCAATAGAGTTCATAATTCCTGGAAGGGCACATCCATTTCTTTTTCTCTTGTAAATACCTCCTGAAAACACAACAAGTCATCCCTGACATATTCTCACATTATCGCTATCAAGGTCAAAAGAAACATCATGTGATATTATCAGTGAATGTGTTTTTTACTCCCCACTACTCAACAAAATCTCAAATCTGAAATGGAATCTTCTTTAAAATACATGCAATTTTGACTTAGTATCCCACTGAGACAACCAATCAATGATTACAAATGCATAAAATCATTTAAGATGTATTCTTCTTACATAAAACACTCTTTTGTTTAATGAATCTCTTTTCCAGAACATCGAGCTGAAGGTTGAAGTGGAGAGTTTGAAAAACGAACTTGAGGAGAAACAACAGCTTCTGGACAAAGCGCTGTGAGTATTTGACTGTGTTTCACATTTCTTGACCCTCTCAGTGACCATGATTGTATTAGTTTGAGAATCCCCAGGTCTTGAAACTCCAAATGTATCTAACAAATCACTCACCCAGAGAATATTAAGCCCTCTTGAACAGTCTAAAAAATATATTCACAAGTGGGTTCAAGTATTTTGCTGCTTGTGCTGCACAGATTTGTTGAAATGCCTTTAGAGAAACCTGACAGAGAACTACAAAAACACTCTTTTCATCGCCAGTTTGATTATTTCCCATGAGTCTATCAATACATCAGAGCTTGGGCGCCCACGGGACCCGGCGGCCTCTCATCACACGCAGCCCGCTGGCCTGTAGACTCACCTAGCTATCACAACACGGACTAAGCTCTGAGGAATGCCATGTATGGACTCGCGCTGAAATGCTTTTGAAGAGGATGAAGTGGCTCTGTGTTCTGGGACAGAGGGGGGGATGAGGGTGAGGAGTCAGAGTGGGGGTGAGGTTTGTTTTGAAGGGGCAGGACATAGAGAGTAAGGCAGTAGTGAGAGGAAAGGGCAGAGGTGTCTTGTGGTTTGTTGCGTAGCTGAGTTGGGAACTATTTGAGCTCTAGCACCTGTCTGCGAGGCAGCTGTCTCTCTTTTAGCGGATCTGTGCTTTAACTCCTCTCTGCTGCAGCCTCACTCACCAAACATCAGGATGATATAAAGTCTATAACCTGTAGAATAAGTTCAGTTCCAATGTTTTTGAAAGTTTAGTGCTGATGTTTTTCTAATACCGTTTTACCGCCAAATCTTAATATTACCTAAGCATGCAGAATGTGTTATTGGTCCAGGTTTTGAGATATCAGAACTCACTAATATCTGACATTGCTGTCAACAGGATCCATTGTGACTGTTTCTTCTGTAGAAATTCTTTTAACGCCACATTACTAATACTTTTAGCGCTACAAATTTTTTGATTTTCATTGTTGTGGATGCAGAAATCTCAAATAAAGATATATCAAATCCTGGGACCATCTGTATGAATAGACACCTTACCTTTCATAAACGTGGGGAACTGATTCTTTAAGGTCAGTTTAGGTTTACATAAGAGACATGAATGTTATGCTCCTTCTTGCACGGTATTATATTAGTGCTGCAGTGTCATCCAATAATGGATTTTAAAGAGGTGGTATTCTGCTTTTTGTCTTTTTTCCCTCTCCTTTATTGAGTTTATACCTTTTTTGTGAATGTAACAGGTTTGCAAAGTTAAAAAGCCCAAAGTCCAGCCCAAAGGGAGTTCCCATCTCCCACAGAAAGCTCTGCTCTGAACTGCCTGAGAACAGCTGGTTTGTAGTCCAGCCGCTTCCCTTTCATCCCTAAATGCACATCATATAACGCTCGCCAATCGGCTACTCCGACACGCCCTCAAAAACACTGAGCTGCGGCACACACCTCTCCTCCCCCTTCCAAACACTAGCTGCCCTCCAGACAGTGAAACTTTAAAGATGAAAGAAACTTTTGTTACAGATTAATAACTCACCTCACTGAAACTCTTGCTCCATGTTGCTAAGCTGGTAAGGGGACCCAGTGATATTTCAGAGGAGACACGCCACTCAATACAACACACAATACGGGAAAGCCCGTAACAGCAAAGATGCCGGTTATCCCGCCCCTCTCGCTTGAAAGCCAAGCTTTTAACAGCCAAAGCGGGAATTGTATTTCAGCCAATCGTGTGGTTCCACTGACATAAGGGTTTATTTTATTTCTACTGCGCATGTGCAGGAGAGAAGTATAACCGGTAGAGAAAAACGCTTTTTAAACCTTATTTTGGGGCAAAGTCGTTGAACTTTCTCAGCAATTTTAATCAGATTTTACTGCAGATTCTAGTCATGTAGTTTTTATGTCCTGGCTACCAGTGAAAGTGAAGCTCTCTGGTTCTCTCCCCATTCATTCGGATAGGAGGAGCTGCAGTAATGTGCAGTATGACAAAAATATGGTGTTTTTTGAAAGTTAAACCACGTAAACCTGTCTTGCTACGACCCCTAAATAAGATTTTGAACCTGAAAATGAGCATAATACCACCTCTTTAAGGGACACTGGGCTGTCTATGCAATACGTCATATTTTTACTGGCTCATTAAAGTATGGGGATTTTCCTTATAGAAAATATTTTATTTGTTCTCACTGTGGCAACGCCCACTCAAGTGTTTCTCCATAGCCCTAGTTTGTGCACACAGATGGAATTACGCATGTATGGTAGGGAAAAGATTTTTCTGAAGGTACATTTAGAAACACTGGATTTGGTTTGTTTTGTGTCATTATTTTTCCAGTCATCATGCTAAACCCCGTCTACACTTGTATGTATTACAAGAAATGGAAAGAGAATCAACACACGTGTGGACGCCGTGAAAAACACCATTAGCTCAGTCACACTGTGTAGTCATGCAGCCAGTATACGCATAGTAATTAGTTCAATCAGTCGATTCAGCACTTCACAATCCAAATAATGAAAAGGAGCAAAGATTCCAGCCTTTGAGGAGAGTAAATGCATGTCAGAGTGGAGTTTGGGGTCAGTGCTGAAGCATTTTCTTTCTCTCTCTCTCTGCCCCGCTGTTTTATAAATAAACTCTCTGGCCACAGTTTATCACTGGAGCTCTTAGCTAGCGCCTGACTGATAGATGTGATGAGGAAAAGCGGAGTGTGACCTTCTGGCTGTTGAAGTTGCTGAGTGGTGGGGCAGTGACAGACTGGCTTTATCATAAATATCCCAGACAGAGACATTTCCCCTACTGGACTCAAAGTTCACCGTGTTTAAGTCTGCCTTGTTGTTGCCTCTGTTTTCTGTGTCTGCTTATTAGCAGGAGATCTCAAAGTTCTGTGACCAGAAAGTTAAGCAACAGCCGGAAAACGTGGTCTTTTGTAAAACCAGGTGTCTCCACAGTGGTTTATAGCGGAGGTGGGCCACCGCACCTGAACTTCAGACCTCCTCCGCTAACATCATAAGTACTTGAAATAAACATTAATTGCAAGGGGAAGGTGGGGAGGTACCAGCTCACAAATCAAATGCCACATATTGAATAAGTTGTTTAGTCTGTCGTCTACTAATCAAATTGATCATGAGATGAGACGTCAGAATCTGGATGGTTTACAATTCTGAGGAAAAGACTTAGTTTTTTGCCTCTTTAGAATAAAAATTGGATCATTCTTTGGATCAAGATAAATCTGTCACCACGTTGTTTCTACCTCATATTGTGCCGATTCCATCCATTATTCACCACATTTGGTTCTTTACATACTTGGATAAACCTGAAATGTATTTATTATTTTAAATTTTATTCCATTTCATGCCATAATTGGTTCTATCGATCAAACCTAATTAGTATAGCACCTTTCAAACAGGATTGCTCCATTCAGATGTTTTACATATGATATTGAGTTGGTTGCCAGATTCTTCTGGGTGCGGCAGATTTGAAATAAACATATTGTGCAGTTTGAACTAAATTCTGATGACAAATGCACTTTTCCACATTAAGGGATTTGAACAAATGTAATGACAGTCCAGCTATAGGTGGTGCTGCACCAATATGATTAATGGCTGAACTCAGTGCTCCATCTGACTCAGATGAAATGTTGCACCGTTCATCCTTAAACAAAGCCTCAATTTCCTCAAACAGGTCTCTCGGCCTCATTATCCATTTCCATGATCATCTATCATGGTGCAAATTCAACATTCAAGGACATTTTTTATTATTTAAATAATAAAATGCAGGGGATCGTATTGTACAATCATTGTCTTTACATTACATTTATTCATGACTGACGCTTTTATCCAAAGCGACTTACAATTGCTGTATATGTGAGAGGTCGCACGCCTCTGGAGCAACTCGGTCAGGGGTATTCAATTAAAATTCAAAGAGGTCCAGTTAGAGAAAATTTCCCAAAGTAAAGGTCCGGAACATCAGAACGACTAATTTGAGTTATTATCCAGTACTATAATATATAGTTGTGTCAAAATATATTTTAGTCAACAACTAACTGTTGCAACTAACTGTAATATTTCCCAGCTTCACCGGTGTTGTTGCTGGTGAATAGATTTGAAGCGGTTTATAGACATTGAAGTGCAGTACGTTATGACTTGTGAGACAAGTATTTGAGTCTTTTGGGAAAGACTCCTTCTAATTACACCCTGCTCAAGTGACCAGACATGATTGATTAAATAAACCCATCTGCCTCTGAAGTCAGCTGTTGAATACATTTATTATTTACTGACTTCAGAGTTTCTTCAACCAAATAAACAGTCATTGGCTTCAAAATGCATTTATATGTTATAAATATTCAATACAGTTTAGTTGGTGTTGCTTTGAATAATGTATGTTAATGCGGTCAACTGGTCTGGTAAGAAGGCCTAGAGACACCCTGTCATCAAAATGTTATATCCCTAAAAAGACAAAAAAAAATTGCAGCTTCGCTTTATAAAAAAAGGTTTTTGTCTGAAACTACAACCTCAGGTCGACGGCAGAGAGCCTGTCCAATCAGAATGAAGCAGAGCTGCAGCGTCGCCTGGCGGAGCGACAGGAAGAGATCAGCCACATGCAGGAAATCCTCGAAACCAAAGTTCAGCTGCTACAAGAGGTACACATAAATAAAAGACACATAAATACACATTCTCTCATGGAATTCATTTGTTATTGTGTGTATAAATTGGAATTAATCTTTAAGCAAGACCAGATCCCTGACAGCCAGACGTGAAGCACGTTTGCACTGATTTGATTTTTACAGTTAAGAGCTTTTCCTCCTGTTTGTGTTGCGTTCAGGAGGCCTTGCTGGCCCGAGACGAGGCTGAGCGGATGGCCTCGCTGGCGGACTCTGAGGCTCAGCGCTGCCTGGCTCTGGAGAGAGAGATGTTGGAGAGGATGGAGAGAGTGGAGGCTCAGACGGACTGCTCACCCAGCAGGCCCTGGCCGACAAAGACGGGTGACTTTAACTTTACATTTACACAAAATGGTACATTAAAAAACGTTTGTGACCCCAGTGGCTCTGGGTTAGATCTCTGAACTTCACTCCAGCTTAACCAGATCTTAACGTGTTCTCCTCTCTCTTTCTGTCTCAGGTGATCGAGGAGTTGACGCAGCAGAAACATTCATGGAGCTCCGGGTCGAGGAGCTTCAGGTTAAAGTTCACGATCTTTCTC